ATTAGGTAAGAATTGAGGCAAAAGAGGGACTAGTTTGCCTTCACAAAAGACTCAGTATGGGAGGGGAAGACCCTCTGGGTTTCTGGGAGAGAAGTGCTTGTAATGATACCCATTCTACAGTTGAGAAAACAGAGACAGACAGAGGTTAAGTGATTTGCTTAAGATCACACAGCCAGTAAGTATCTGAGGTCAAATTTGAACTCAAGTCTTCCTGACACCAGGTCTAGGGCTCTTTGATAATACTAGCTAACACTTATAAAGCTCTTACTACAAGCCAGGCACTGTGCTAACTACTTTACACATATTTACAAGTATTATTTCATTTGATCTTTACAACAACCTTGGGAGAGAGGTGCTATTAGTATCCCCATTTTAGATGAGGAAACTGAGGCAGACAGAAGTTAAGGGACTTGCCCAGGGTCACACAGCTGGTAATGTATGATGCTAAATTTGAACTCAGGGCTTCAGACATCGTTTCTAGGGCACCATCCACTGTACCACTGAGCTGCCTAAAGCTGCCTATAAGCAAACTATAGCCATATCATTCCCCTCATCTGTGAGTTTAATAATTCCATCAGAGAAGGAAATGAGGTTAATCAGCCATGACACATTCTTGAGGAATCCATGCAAAAGACTCTTGGTAATCACCACCATGCCAACCGTCTCTTTAACCATCCTTTCTAGAATTTCCCCAGGAATTGAAGGCAAGCTCACTAGCCTATTATTTGTGCACTGTTCTCTTGCCTTTTTGAAAAAATCAGGTCGCCATTTGCCCTTTTCTCCTGTGATGGTCCCTCTCCCATTTTCCATCATCTTTCCTATGTCCCTGACAATCCAGTCTGAGGCTGAAGAAGGCAACGTGGATTTGCTGATTTGTTTTTTAAGTACATTGGGAGGAAAAGGAAGATCTAAAAAAGCAGAGGACTTTTGCTGGGGTGCTTGGGATCATGACAAGGGACAATAGAGAGAAGGCAGAACTGCTCCACGTTTTTTTCCCTCTACAAAGGAGAATGACCTTTAAAGGAAGTGCTGAATCAGAAGTGACTAACAGGGTGTGGTGGCCAAGTCAGTATGAGAGCACCTGGCTGCCCTGGGGAACCACATCTTCAGACTGGACTGTCCGTGATCTTGTGGTCCTCTGATGTTATCTGGACTTAACTCAATTGCCTGTACATTTCTTTTTGAAATAATAATAATAATAATAATGATAGCCTTATGTAATAATGATAATGCTTTAAGGTTTGCTAAGCACTTAACAAATATTATTTCATTTGATCCTTACAAAAACCCTGGGAAATGAGTGCTGTTATTATCTTCATTTTACAAATGAAGGAACTGAGGCAGAGAGTGGGTACTTACCCAGGATCACAGAGCTAGTGTCTGAAGCTAAACTTGAACTTTGGAATTCCTGCCTGGAGATCCAGTGGTTCATTCATTGCGTCCCCTAGCTGCGAGCATCTACATGGCTCTTCAGAAAAATACCCATTTTTTTTTCTCAATGGAATTGTTTCCCTTTGCATCTTCAGAATTTCATTATTGAGAATCTCCCATCTTCCTGGGCTGACCATCCTTGAAGCAATGGGATCCTCCTGCTTATCTTCCTTGTAACCCTTTGAAATCTACTTTCCCGAAATTTGGGGGGCATTGTCAGACTATACCCAGATTTCCTCTCCTCTGCCACAAATTCTAAGGTGCATTTCCTCTCAAGGTCCCCATAGTTTCTATCCTAGCAATCAAGGCTTCCAAAGTACTTTCAATTGAGCCAGTGAGATTAACCAGAATGGTTTTGGGAAGATTTCATGTAGGAAGTAGTACCTGACTGTGCTTGCAAAGAAGACGGATTCCACAAGGCAGAAGTGAGGAGGGGTCTTTGACAAGAAAGAGTTCCAGGTCTGGGACTGTAGTGGGGAACATAGCACAAAAAACTTTTAAAGAAAAAAAAAGCTGCTGTCTTTGACTTAAGAGCTCACAGATCCAGAACATGGGTTCTTACCTCAGGGTCTATGAACTTTTAAAAAACATGTATTTTGGTAACTGTATCCCAATGCAATTGGTTTTCTTTGTACTCATGTATTTTATTTTATGCATTTAAAAACATTATTTTGAGGTGGGGTCTGTGGCTTCATCAGACTACCAAAGGTGTCCATCACACACACACACACACACAAAGCTAAGAACGTTTGATGTAGAGATGGAAGACCTCCAATGTCATCTAGTCCCAACCCCTCATTTTACAGGTGAAGAAACAGAGGCCCGGAGAGGTAAAGTGACTTCCCAAAGTCACACAGCAAATACATATTAGGGTCTGTAGACCCTGTCTTCTAACTCTAGAGACAGTGCTTTCTACTCTGTAATTTTCCAGACAGCTAGGACTTTTCTGCCTCTTTTATGGGAAAGGGATTACTAAAAATGTTTGTAGTTGGTATCTACATTTGTGTTACTAGATTGTGAGCTCCTCGAGGACAGTGACTGTACCTACATTCAGACGGACACCTGGTACACTCCTGATAGCATAGGAGTTGGTGCAACCAGAGCCATAATGATTAACCATCCAAGTGACTCCCTCATCAGCTAGGTCTCCACATGGGGTCTCCTCCGTCACTGTGGTGACCACCCAGTTGATGCCGCACCTGATGTTGACGTTCAGAGGGTTGTGGAACAAGGTTCTCTCTCTTAAATCTTTCAAAGCATCTTAAATGATTTTGATTTATGAGTGAAGGATCTTGTTAGAAGCCAGCTTTTAAGGTGGAATTTTGCTCCCCTGAAGCTTTTTTCATAATCCACGAACAGTTAGCACAGCGGTATCTCGCATTCTTTACATCTGGAACATTGCAAGACATCCTGGAGTTTAGCCTGACCTCCCACACAGGGAAGACCAGTCTGTTAACAATAATGACGTGCAGTTTGGGTGTTGGACAAATGTCCATTGCTACTTATATCTGAGACAGATGGCACAGATAGATTGGGCGGGTCCAGATTTCAACAGGAGGAAGAAAGTGAGCTCGATTGCCTTCAGGAAAGGACATATGGACCCCAAACTTCTCTGAGAAACAAAAGCCAGTCTTTTAATACCTATATTTTATGGATGTTATCACATGGTTTTGTCAGTCATGAAGCATTTAATGCTCGTTATGGGTGGCATGAGTGACAGTCATACATACAGAAAAAAGTGAAAAACGTTCCCTGCTTTCAAGAAGTGTACGGATTAACCACAGAGACGACACGTGAGTAACTCGGATATTTATGGAGTAGATGTAGTCTGAAAGGGAGACATTCCCAGCTGATGGGACTGGGAAAGGTCTTCTGCTGGTCAAATCTACAAGTGCTAAGCTCAGGAGTACAAGTAAAAGAAAGAAACGGTCCCTGCCCTCAAGGAGCTTACATCCTAATTGGGGAAGATAACGCAAAGGTCATTTTCAAAAATGTCTAGGAGAGTCTGGAGTGCAGCCCAGAGAGGAATGAAGCAGTGGGTGACCTGGGCCTCCTTCTTACAAATGGAGTTTCTGGGAATCAGGAGAAGTGGAAGGGGCAGAGGTTTCTTTAATGTGTAAAGTCCAAGGGTGAAGTCTAGAAGTACAGTGAGCTTCTAGGGCGAGGAGGTTTCTGGGATACTATAGAAAAAGACTGGAGAGTCAGGAGAGCAGCCTGCAGAGAAATGAAGCATTTCATTCTGGGATTTGAAGGAAGACAAGAAGACTGAGTCGGAGGTAAGGGGGCAGAGCCTTCAAGGCATGGGGATGAAGAGTAGGTGTTCTGCCCCAGGACGGAGTAGTTGGGCCAGAGAATGTGCAGAGGGGACAAGAGTATAAGGAGCCTGGGAAGGTAAGAGGGGCTCAGATTTGAGACTGGAATACAACAGCTTCTGAATCCATGAAAATGAATATAATACCGAGAGCAATGAAGAGGTAAATGGTGGGTGTGAGCAGGATCGAAAACGGGAATAAAACATCATCCGAGAAATAGATGAGCGACACTGAAAGTGGTCTGGTCACCTGGTGAAGAGGAGGGAGCCCGGTTGGATGGCCGGGTGTTTGCCATTGGTCCCCACTAGACAAGGGCAGCAGAAAGTGAAGGAGGTGCTGGCATGTGGGGGTACCCACCGTGATGGCTACTCACGGGAGGACATGCGCAAGTAGCAGATTGCCACCGTAACACTGAAGGAGACATTCAAAGGCTGGGAGGAGCTGAGTTTGCGCCTCCCACTCCCCACCCCGCAAATTCTGGGCAACTGCGGTCTGCAGAACAGCACTATACCCCCCCCCCCAGAATCCCAGGGGCGTCCCTGGGGGGTTGGGGCTCCTTTTTCATGCTGTCACCTCAAGCCCCGTTCTGGTGGGTTCTCCCCCAGCATCACTTAGCTAATTAACAGAAATTAGCTTTGAGAACAGCGACATTTAATGAGAGGTAGGCGGCTGGGAGCGGGAGGATAGACGCTCTTCTTTCTGCCCACCTGGAGGCCGACTTCAGTTACTGCCTCTCGTGACTGAAGGAACACTTGCACAAGTCACTTCACGCTGCTTGCCTCAGTTTCCTCATCTATAAAAGGAGCTGGAGAAGGAAATGGCACAACTGTAGTTCACAAAAGACCAGAAAAAGTGATTTGCCACCACCTAGCTACCCAATTATGGGGGGAACCCAAACATTTTTGGGGGGTATTCTTTGCCGTTGGTGGTCGGGCAGAGGCTCAGCGCACCACTGGAACCCAGGTCCTCTGGGCCCCCTAGGCCCACTGCGCTCTTACAGCTGGAGGGAACGTGGGGGCGGGAGACCAGGGAGGCGAGAAAGGAGCCCGGGAGCATGCGCGGTTCGAATCGGGGCGGGGAGGGAGGGGGTTGTGAGGCGGGGTGGAGGAGGGTGGCGGGGAGCCCGGGGCACGCGCAGCTGGGTTAGGGTGGGGGGATGGTAGCGTAGGGGGGGCCCGGCCGCTGCGACGGAGGGCGGGGCGGGGGAGCGCGAGCCGCGCCGTCCCACGTGATCCGGCCGCCCCCGCCCCTCAGCGCGCATGTGCAGGACGCGTCAGTGATGGAGGAGAGAAGATGGCGGAAGCGGAGTGAGTGACTGGCTGGGGACTGCGGCCGCGGCCCGCGGGGCGAAGGCTGCGGTGGGGCCGGGGTGGGGGCGCGCGCAGGCCGGCTGGCTGGCGGGGGCGCGCTCCTCCGGGGGTCCCCGGCTCGGGGCGTCCACGCGAGGCTTGGCGGCCAGGCTGCGGGCTGGGCCTCCTCGGGAGGCGCTTGGGCCGGGCCGGGCCGGCCGGGAAGGGGCGGGGCAGCGGGGGTGGGGGGAGAAGAGGACCCGCCCTGCCCTGGGCTCTCTGCCTCAGTTTCCCCATCTGCAAAGGCGTGATGCCCATGCCTTTACCCCTTCCCCGCCCCCCTTGGAGGGACCCGGAGGCTGCCGCCCCCGTCGGTCCAGGGCCTGGGCCCGTGACTTCAGTGGGGTGCGTGCGTGGGGGGCGCTTCCTGGTGTCCGAGGCCTGTGGCCCCCCCCCCCGCATCCTGTTTGCGCGGGTTACCAAGGAAACCAGCGATAACATATAATAAACAACATCTACGTTTATGGGGTTTTCCTTAAGGCAAGTTCACTGCCCCCGGGCAGGGGAGCGCCCACGTGAGACGTGCCCCACGCAGGCCGGCCCTTTTCCTGTCTGCAGCCAGCACTGATTGGGCGCTTCCTGAATGCCTGGCCCTGCTAGGTCCTGCCCTCAAGGAGCTCACCTTCCACTCCGGGAGACCACGTGCACAAAAACGAAATAAACCTTTGTTGGTTTTGTTGGGCAGGGGGGAGCCAGCCATGGGGCCCCAGCTGTCAGAATTTATTAGGTGCCCACGGGAGTCTGGGCACTGGGCTGTCCCTGCAGTTTCTAGGCTGAAGAATTGCTTGGAGCATGAAGAGGGTGCCTCCTTGGACCGTCTGGCCCAGCCCTCCTTATTGGACAGAGGAAGAAACTGAGGCCCAAGGAAAGTTGAGTGAATGGCAGGATTGAAATCCAGATCTTCCACGTGTTATGCTCTTTTCACCGCATTTATGATGTTTGTAAAGCACTTCAAAGTGCAGACTTTAAAGAAAGACCTTTTTTTAATACCTGATTGTACACCCAACTCAAGGCCTCTTAAAATTCCTCATTTCTTTAAAGTTTCAGCTAAAGTGTCCAGTCAGCCAGCATTTATCTAGTGCTTACTGTGTACTAGGAACCATGGTTTGAAAGGCAGTCACTACCCTCAAGGAACTTGGGGTGATGAGGAGAGGGAGGGGAAGAGAAACGGGGGGGGGGATAAATGGGTAAGCCCAAAAATGGGTACCAAGCCTAGAAGTTATTTTGATATGCAGACCAGCCTTAAGGAGGCCTGTCCTGATTCTCTTGCAAGTGCCTGGCCTTTTGGTCCTGGAATGCAGGCCTTTTTAGTGTAGAGACTCTCGTTTTTTGTGCCTGGGGCCCAGTGATAGCTTAATAAATGCTTTTTGGATGGTTATATGGGAGCATAGATTTAAAGCTGGAATAAACCTCAGACACTATCATTTTTACAGATGAAGAAACTGAGACCAAGGGACATTAGGTGACCAATAGGTTCTGGCAGAGGTACCATTTGAAGCCAGGTGCTTTGACTGTATTGGGTACCCATTATACTGTCCCAGGCTGGTTTAATAGATTGATGAAGAGCTCCACGGGCCGTAGAGTCAGATTTCAGCAAAGTTGGAGGTCTTTGCGGTTAGGTTAAGCATGTTTTCTGCCTGACACGTAGAAGGCTTTTAATAGAATGCTTAGTAAATGAATGAATCAGCAGTGGTGGGTAGGTTAGAATGAGACACCATGGTTGATGGTACCAGCATAGGCACTGTGGTTTAGGGATTTAGAGGAGCAAAGGGCTTAAGGGAGTTTAACGATTTACAGGAATGTTAGAAATCATTTGGAGTGTATATAGTACGTATTGTTATCTAGTTCAGGGGCACTCAGTGAGGCATTTCACCCTTGTGTTTTCTAATAAAGTGGAAAAAAATATATATTTTTTTGTTTTGGCTAGGCAGTGGGGTTAAGTGACTTGCCCAGGGTCACACAGCTAGTGCGTGTTATGTGTCTAAGGTCAGATTTGAACTCATGTCCTGACCCCAGGGCTGGTGCTCTATCCACTGAGCCACCTAGTTGCCCCCAAAAAATCATTTTAACATGGGAGAATGACGCACATTTTTTGTTGAAGGACTTTGAAATACTTTATCTTTGATGAAAGGTGCCAGAAGAAAATGCATTTTATAAAATCATGTTTTAAGATTAGTAAAAGTAATTTTAATCATCAGCATATTTGGAATTTTCTGTTATCAAATCAAACATTTTTTGTATCTAGTGCTTTTAAATTTGAGCATAATTAATGTATAAGCTTTCATATGTAATTTTATGGAAATCTCATTTTTTTTACCATCGATAATAAAACACTACAAAAAATGTAGTGATTCAGATTTTGTTTATCTCCTAATCATTGAGAGCTGCCGACCGATAAAGAGCCTTATATGGGTGATTGTTCTCAGGTTTGCTTTCTGAAGTGCTTATTCTCTAGAAATCTGTAGTTGTGGTAGTACTAAGTTTCTGGCAATACGGCAGCCCTGAAAGTTGGCCAGTAATAAAATGTTTAGAGTTGTTTGTATTATTGGGACCAGATTCTGTCAGTTATCGAGATCTTGACTTCAAAACAGATGAAGGGAGTTTGCCACATTGGGGAAAAGGAAGAACTCTTGGTCCATTAATGAGGAACATTCAATAAAAGATAGTATTTATAAAATTAGCTTGTGCTAATTCCTCAAGCAAAGCCTTGTAAAGATCATTTTTTGAAGGGATTTGGGGAAGTTACTGACAGTAGTTTCTCTATTTTACAATTTCCCCAAATCTGCTATATGCCTTTATTGTTAATTACAATATAGTTAAACTTCATTGTATACAATAAGGCTAACTTGAATAGTTGAGAAGTAGGCACGTATGAATTAATGCAAGGTATGAATGTTTTGTTGCTTGGGAATGCTGCTTTATTTTAATCCTTTCCAGGCTGTGCTCCAGATTGTTGCAGCTGTGTTTGACACCTCTAGATTAGATGATCTCTGAATCCTTTTTATCTTCAGAATTCTGTGATTTTTATGAGGGGGTCTTAAGGCCTTCTTCATGTAATCTATTTATAGATATTACTTTGCTTTAAAAAAAACTTCATTGATAATGCAGAGATGAACGTAACCTTCTTTGAGTTACTCAAATTCTGAATTGTTGAAGTATGACTTTGGGTAGAATTTTGTATGCAGAGTGGTGTTGGTGGATGTCTCTGTTCTATTTGGGCCTTGCTAAATTCATAACAGCACATGTCATTTTGGGGGAGTAATTAGATTGTATTTAAAGCACATGGTTGGCACCAGGCCTTGGCCTAACATCCATTCTTTGTGTTCTTTGCTAGTTTTAAGGAGCATCACACAAGTATGGATAACGAAGCAAACCCGGGAACGTCATCCGTATCTACAGCTCCTAGCAGTACAGCCACCGCCACAATCAGCACTTCCTCCTCCAGAACACCACAACCACAGATCTCTGTTTATAGCGGCTCTGACCGACACGCTGTACAGGTATGCTGGAAATGGTGAGCAAGAGGAGGCATTGGGGGCAGGGAAGGCAAGGTATGCTTCCCCTCTTTCCAAAGTCCTCCACTTCTCACAGTAGGTCTAGGTAAGTCTTGTACCTGTAAGGTGTAGATGATGCTTTCACATGTCCTAGGACTATTAATACTTACAAATATGAAGCTTGTAGTGTTGGGGAAAGCTAGAAAATTTAGGGATTGAGAAGGCCAACTGATCTGTCAGATCATGAGGCACTCTTAGTCATTGCTGGGTCATTCTAAGGGTGTAAGTTTAGTCCTAGAGGGTGAGAAATTCACACATATTCATACTGTTTTGGGGTATTCTCTTTGGACCCAACCCTCTCTCTAATTTCATACTCTGAAAAAAGCCCTTACTTTCAGGAATGATCTTTTCAGTCCCTAATAAGATATTCCAGGACTTTTTAGTGAGATTTCATAATCTCTAGGGAAATTCCTAGTGTTTTGAACAAATTAAGATTCTTTCTTCCCCATCTCTACACTAGCCTCTACTTCATGAAATCTCCTTAATTGCATTGCAGTGTGGAACCAAGTCATTTCCCTGGAGGAAGTTAGTCTCTGCTTAAGAGAGGATGTCCAGTGTTGGGGTTTGAGGTTACTTTTCCCTGCTCTGATTAAGCACCAGAGATTGTGGAGCTACATTAGGGTGCCCTGGAAGGCCAGCTGAATGTCAGTGGCTTTGGGGAGTAGGCACTTTAAGCCCTGATTCTTCACTGAGGTAAATTTCTTCAGGGAAGAAAGTACCTGGATGTTGGAGCAGACTCTGGCGTGTGACATTGTAATTTGCCAGTTTTTTCTAGGAAACACAGCTTACCTAAAGTTTTCATTTGACTGCAGGAGAGGATCATGTTAGATGAGCTGCTGTTAGAGGGCCTCTGAGTATGGGGGGAGCCACATGGTGTCAAGTGGGTTTTCTTGACCGGTGGCTTCAGCAACCCTAATTAAGTAAAGACATTTTTTGGTTTTCTGCGGAGCGATGGGAGTAGGTATCTATCCATCTCTCTTCCCTAAGAATTTGAGAATGAGGTTTTTTGGCTCCACAGTTCAGGAAATGCTGTCTGGGCCTTGACCTTCTTAGTTCAGTTTATTTTGCCACCACAAGGTTGTTGGATTTTTTTTGATCGTTTTTTGAGTTTGTCAGCACTTTTTGCTATGATCTTGGACTCTTAAGTTCCCTTGCTGTGGTTTAAGGATTCGGTTGGGCACATAGTGACTTTGGTATATGGCAACAGTGGATATCAGAAGCCATTAAGACCCTGGCTGTTCCCTGCCAGAAAAGTGGGATTCTTTTTTCCTCTTTTCATGTATGGCATGTGTCATTGATCCATTCATTATATAAAGTTCTCAGATTTTTTTTTCTTTACCAATGGACAGATATATAAAAGCATAAATTAAATGTTCATACTCACAAAGTAATTTCTAAATGTTTCCTTTCAGTATGCCATCTTCATTAAATATATATATGAGATCAGTCTTGGTGAAGATTTTCTTTTTCTGTTAATAGTATTTTATTTTTTCCAATTACATGTAAAGATAGTTTTTGACATTTATTTTTTATAAATTTTGAGTTCCAAATTTTTTCTCTCTCCCATTCCACCTCCCCAAGACGACAATCTGATATAGGCTATATGTGTGCAAACATGTGAACGTATGTCCACGTTAGTCATCTTGTGAAAGAAGAATCAAAACAAAAGGGAAAAGCCACAAAAAAGCAGAAAATGAAAATAGTATGCTTCAATCTACATTCAGACTCCCTAGTTCTTTCCCTGAATGTGGATAGCATTTTCCGTCATGAGTCTTTATCATCACGGATTATTGTAATGCTGAGAAGAGCTAAGTCTATCAAAGTGGTCATGGCACAGTGTTGCTGTTACTATGTACACTGTTCTCCTGATTCTGCTCACTTCACTCCACATCAGTTCATGTAAGTCTTTCCAGGTTTTTCTGAATCTGCCTGCTCATTGTTTCTTACAGCACAGTAGTATTCCATTACATTTATATACCACAACTTGTTCAGCCATTCCCCAGTTGATGGGCATTCCCTTAATTTCCAATTCTTTGCCACCACAAAAAAACCTGCTAAAATATTTTTGTACATGTGGGTCCTTTCCCCTTTTTTATGATCTCTTTGGGATACAGCCCTAATAGTGATATGGCTGGGTTAAAGGGTACACGTAGTTTTATAGCCCTTTGGATATAGTTCCAAATTGCCCTCCAGACTGGTTGGATCAGTTCATAACTGCACCAACAATGCATTAATGTTCCAATTTTCCCACATCTTCTCCAACATTTATCATTTTCCTTTTCTGTCCTATTAGCCAATCTGATAGGTGTGAGATGGTACCTCAGAGTTGTTTTAATTTGCATTTCTTTAATCATTAATAATTTAGAGAGCATTTTTTCATATAACTAAAGATAGCTTTAATTTCTTCCTCTGAAAACTACCTGTTCATATCCTTTGACTGGTATTCTTATAAATTTGATTCATTTCTCTATATATTTGAGAAATGAGGCCTTTATCAGAAACACTTGCTGTAAAAATTGTTTCCCAGCTTTCTGCTTTCCTTCTAATCTTGGTTGCATTAATTTTGTTTGTGTAAAAACTTTTTAATTTAATGTAATCAAAATTATCCATTTTGCATTTTATAATGTTCTCTATCTCATTTGGTCTTAAATTCTTCCCTTCTCCATAGATCTAACAGGAGAACCATTCCTTGCTCTCCTCATTTGCTTATCTTGGTATCTTGGTGAAATATTTTGCTCTAAATCAGAGTAGCTGCAAGAGAGAATGTTTGAGAACCTATTTTTAACAATAATAAGTGCATCAGCTGAGTAACTTTAAATTGTAGAAATTAGGGAGCCCTGTTACTGTGTCAGCACAAAGACATTTTAGGAAGAAGTTCATTGCAGTGAGCATTCTCTGAGTACTGGGAAAATATTGGCGGACTGCACATTTAAACAGCAAAATGAACTTCTTGACATTTGACGGCCTACTTTTAGACCTCTTTGTATGGTTTGACTTCTGTCCGTTAACCCCCACTTCCTAGGTCATTCAGCAGGCCTTGCACCGCCCCCCCAGCTCAGCGGCTCAGTACCTCCAGCAGATGTACGCGGCGCAGCAGCAGCACCTTATGCTGCACACAGCAGCTTTGCAGCAGCAGCACCTGAGCAGCTCCCAGCTCCAGAGCCTGGCGGCCGTGCAGGTGAGATGGACGTTAGCAGAGAGCGTGCAGGGCTCTCCAGGAACACCTGGATCTTAGGAGTTTGGTGTTTTCATGTGTTGTGTGACTTTCTAACAAGGGAGCAAATCGTGTGAGATTTTACAAATAGGATGGACACAAGTGTCATTGTATGTGTGTGACTTTTGCCTTGCTTTTTATTTCCATTTGAGTGGCATGATTGTATCAGTCCTGTAGCAGAGCTTGGGCTTCAGCAAGAAATAGTTCAGGGCTAGCTAAGCTGTGCTTGCAGTCACAAGAACATAATTTGTCATTTAAGCATTTTTGATAAGTGTTTCCATTATTACTAGGCTAGAGCCTAATGATCTCTTTTTAATAAGCATAATTGTTCATAGAACCCTAAACCATCTCCCTAGGTGCATGTGACAGATCTCAGTTGCTGAAACATCTAAAAATGTATGTGCTTCGCATAGCCACAGATGCCCAGTTGCTCCTGCTTCTTGGTAGAGTTTCTTTAAATCACAAAATGTCCCTGTGGTGGCTCGCACAGCTCTCGTTTCTGTGTCAGGTCAGTGATGGAGCAGTAGAGTCATAGCCTAGGTGAGACTGTAACTGACAGCCCGGAATTGACAGTGGTGTGGCCAGTCCATTGTGGCCGAGAAAGACAAACTGTTCCTTCCATCTCTTCCGTTTTTTATTCTGTTAGTCAGAAGCTTGGACCATGCTAGCCTTAAAGGGAATTCATGTAGCTTAGACTTCCGTACTTTTTTTTTTGTTTGCGCCATAAACTCAGTACCAATCAGGGTTTAACTTCAGTTTATAAGAAACATTTTATTGCTCTTTTAGGCAAGTCTGTCCAGTGGGAGACCATCTACATCCCCTACAGGGAGTGTCACACAACAGTCAAGCATGTCCCAGACATCTGTAAGTGTCCTTAATTGTTTTCTGGCATTAAATATTTTAATTATTAAAATTTCCAAAAATAAAACATTGTTTAACCCTTAAAGAACTTAGTGAAAGCTCTTTGAAGAATAGGTATGTCATAACAAATGTTTGAAGGAAAAACACCTGCCAGAAGTTGGTAATTGATATTTTTTGAGACATTAGTCTCAAAACTGTTGGGGTTTTTTTGGAGTTTTCTGTAGGTGATTATTTCTCAAATGACACAAAAATCTGCATTTTTGAACTGTTACCTTTTTTTTTTTACTGATTATTTCTTGATTCCATGTATTAAAACTAATTAGTCAGAATTTATGGAGAGCCTATTGTATACGGAGCACTGTATTAGGCAGTAACACCCTGCTTTTGTTTATTAACTATGTGTCATTATGGTCTGTGTAAGTAAATACATATAACTAACTTTGTGTAATTGCTATTTTTAAAGTATACTTTTAATTTTTAAACCTAGTTAAATCATTTGACCCAGACTTGCAAATTTTCTCTTATATACTGTGCTTGAGAAAGCTATAATTCATTTTGTAAATGAATTATAATTATGTAATTATAAGTGAATTAATGAAATAACAATAAACAAAAGAATTAATAGTAAAAAAAAGCTGTTCTGCTTTACCATTTAAATATATAGCTTTGGGATATGGGGGACAAAATTGTTTAGATAAAGAATTATGGAGCTATTAGCAATTTGTTTGTTTGAGATTAACTTAAATAGGTTACAATAATAAGCTACAAAAGAATTCAGGAGGTGTTAGAGCTCTAGTTGTGTAAGGATATGCCCTATACTGATCAAACATTTTGCATTCACCGGATGCTGAATCAGTAGTGTCCATTAGTCTGATATTTTCTAGTTGAAAATTCCATGTAATAAATGCTACTTTATGGTTTCTTTACGGTAGCAGGAGATTTGCAGTTACCATGAAATTATTACCTTATGATATGAAAAAATTAGTTACGAGTTAAAGGTATATAGTCTTGCTAAGAAAATAAGAATTTTAGGTGAAATGGAGCATTCAACCCTAAGCACTACTACTGTTCTGATTATTGATCTGTATATAACATGTGTCGTTGGGAACTATGGAAAGGGCTGGTAGACATTTCTTTGAACTAGTAAGAGGAAAATTACAAGTTTATTGTCCTGTGAAACTGCATAATAGAATGAATTTGTGCATATATGTGGAGAGATTTCTTCTTTGAGAACTCAATCACCGTTTATATCCTTTGACCGTTTTTTTGTTTTTAATTTTTTTTATTTTTTCGATATGCTTTTGAGTTGAAAATTTTTCTCCCTTTTCCTCCCCCCCACCCTTCCCAAGACAGCGCACAATCTGATATAGGCTTTATATTTACATACCCATTAAACATATTTTCACATTAGTGAAGTTGTAAGTGAAAATTAAAACCAATACGAGGAACCATCAGAAAGAGGAAACAAAACTCAACAGAAGGTAAAAATAAGTAATAGCGATTTGACTTCCATAGTTCTTTCTTTGAATGTGAACAGCATTATCCATCACGAGGCCTCTGGAAATGTCTTAGATCCTCATAATGCTGAGAAAGGTTCAGTTTAACAATCTTAGTCATTGCATAACGTGGCTGTTATTGTGTACAAAGTCCTCTTGGTTCTGCTCACTTCACTCAGCATCAGACCATATAAGTCTTTCCAGATTTTTCTGAAGTCAGCCTGTTCATCATTTCTTACAGCACAATAGTATTCCATTCCATTCATATACCACAACTTGCTCAGCCATTCCCCAATTGATGGGCATCCTCTCAATTTCCAATTCTTTGCCACCACAAAAAGAGCTGCTATGTATATTTTTGTACATATGGGTCCTTTTCCCATTTGTTTGATCTCTTTGGGTTATAGCCCTAGAAGTGCTATTGCTGGATCAAAGGGTGTGCACATTTTTGTAGCCCTTTGGGCATAGTTCCAAATTGTTCTCCAAAATGGTTGGATCATTTCACAACTCTATCAACAATGTATTAGTGTTCCAGTTTTCCCACATCCTCTCCAACATTTATCATTTTCCTGTTTTGTCATGTTGGCCAATCTGATAGGTGTGATGTGGTACCTCAGAGTTGTTTTGATTTGCATTTCTCTAATCAATAACGATTCAGAGCATTTTTTCATATGACTATAGATGGCTTTAATTTCTTCCTCTGAGAACTGTCTGTTCATATCCTTTGACCATTTATCAGTTGGGGAATGGCTTGTGTTCTTATAAATTTGTCTTAATTCTCTATGTATTTTAGAAATGAGGCCTTTATTAGAAAGACTGGTTGTAAAAATTCTTTCCCAATTTTCTACCTTCCTTCTAATCTTAGTTGCATTGGCTTTGTTTTCCTTTGACCGTTTTTAACCTATTGGGGGAAAACCCTTCTAGATTTGAAACTGTTCCTTATATATCTTGAAAATGAGAGTTTTGTCAATGAAACTTGCTTCAAAGGTTTTTTTTTCCAGGTACTTGTTTCACTTCTAATTTTAACTGCATTAGATTTCTTTGTGCAAAACCTTTTAAATTTTATAATAATCAAAATTGTCCCTTTTATCTTGTGTGATCCTCTCTTTCACTTATGCAGTCATGAACTCTTCCCTATCCAAAGCTCCAAAAGGTAATCTCTTCCTTGCTTCTCTGATTTGTTTGTGATGTGACCTTTTATATCCAGGTCATATTTCCATGTGGAGCTTCTCTTGATATCAGGTGTAGTGTGTATAGTATGATAGTGGAAACCTTATTTTTGCCCAACTACTGTCCAGTTTCTCAGCAATTTCTGTCAAATAATCCTTTTTCAAGTAGCTTTGGTCTTTAGGTTTATTTAGCACGGTGCTCCTTAACTATGTTTGTTGCTTCTCTGTGTTGTATACTGAACCTGCTCCACTGATTGACCTCTCCTGTTTTAGCCAGCACCAAATCATTTTAATGGTCACCACTTTGTAGTACAATTTGAGATCTGGTACTGGGAGACTCCCTCCCCCACCCCTTTTTTATGATTACCATTCCTTGAGGATAATTCACCTTTTGTCCCTCTCTATGTGTTTTGTTATTGTTTTCCTTTTTCTATTTTTCTTATCATTTTTCTTCAAAATATTTCTTTTGATTTGTTTGATTTTTATGGCACTGAAAAAGTAAATTAATTTAGGTAAGATTGTCATTTTTATTGTATTGGTTTTACCTATACATGTGTAATGAATGTTTCCACTTATTTAGATCTGTCTTTATTTCTGCAAAGAGCATTTTCCAATTGGAATCACATAGTTCCTAGGTTCATCTTGGTAGTTATACTTCCAAATATTTTATATCTTATATAGTTATTTCAAATGGAATTTCTCTTTTTAGCTCTCATTGCTGGGTTTTATTGGTATTATACAGGAATGCTGATGATTTATGTGGATTTATTTCTGCAACTTTGCTAAAGTTATCATTTTACTTTTTAGTTGACTCTCCAGTTTTTCTAAATAAATTATATCGTTTCCAAAAAGTGATAATTTTGTTTCCTGTCTGCCTATGCGTATGTATCCCCTTGATTTCTTTCTCTTATCTTTAGCAGTTTATTAAATAGTGGTGATAATGGGCATCCTTACTTGACCTCGGTCTTACTAGAAAGGCGTCAGGGCAGCTAGATGGCACAGTGGATAGAGCTCTGGCTTTGGAGTCAGAAGGACCTGAGTTCAAATATGACCTCAGACACTTGACACTTAGTAGCTGTGTGTCGCTGGGCAGGTCACTTAACCCCATTGCCTAGCCAAAAAAAAAAAAAAAGAAAAGAAAGGCCTCTGACTTTCTCCATTACCTATATTGTTGGCTCTTACGACAGGTATTATCTACTGTATGTAAAGACAAGTCTGTTTATTCTTATGCTTTCTAGAGTTTTTAATAGAAATGGTTCTTTTATTTTGTCAGAAGCTTTCCCAGCACCTTTTGATATAATCATATAGTTGTTATTGTTTATATTATTAACATGGTTCATTTATAATCTTCCTTAAGTTAAACCAGTCCTACCCTTCTTGGTATAAATTCATCCCGTCATAGTGTATAATCTTTCTAATAGGTTGTTGTAGGTACTTGCTAATATTTTATTTAAAACGTTTGCATCAGTGTTCCTTAGAGATACAGTGTATAGTTTTCTTTCTGTATCTGTCCGTGGCTTAGATACCGAGACCACACTTGTATCTTAGGGTGAAATTGAAAGAATGTCTTATTTTCTTGGTTTTTTCGTGCAGTGATTTTAAGCCTCTTCTTGGCTCTCCCTGAAATGAAAGTGCATCTTTTTGCTGTGAGGCTTGCGGTCATACAGAACCACCCTCTTCGGAGAATTATAGTTGAAGGTTACCCAGAGGGCAATAAATAGTTATGTAGTAGACTTAATCTCAAATCAACATTACTGACCAAGAATTGCCCAATAAAACTGGTGTAAAGGATGCCACCACAGATGGGTGACTAGAAGGAGAGCTGGGCCAGTTGTGTGGCAAGAGCAGACAGCGTATATGCATGACTCATCCATCTAATGTCAAGAGAATTAGAGAAGGCCCCTAGCTCGGAGGTGCTTCATGGGAAAACACTGGATGAGAGTTGTATCAAATTAAAGGCTATGGATTCTTGTGATCTGCACCCTGGAGTGGGGTGTCCACTTGGCTGAGAAGATGGCTCCATCAGAGTCTGCCATCTGAATGCTGCCTTGGTGCCTTATCTTGGTATGGAGATGTAATTCTGGCTTCACGAGGGCTAAGTCAGTGGAGTTCAATCCCTAGCTGCTCCTAAAATAGAAAGACTGAGTTTGGGCCTGAGAACAGTTACCATCATGAATTAATCAGACTTTGTTAGCATATAAAGCAAAGATCAGTAACATCGCTGGAAAAGCATTGGCGTACTTTTGTTATTTCAAAAGATTTATGGTTTCATCAACTTTCTCTACCGATACATCTTGTTGAGTCTTTCATAAATTCATGGGGCCTTCCGGAACTCATC